CATACAGTTGCCCTTCTAAATTAATATCCTTCTCATCTGCTAGCTTTCGAGATGACGTGATTTGTTTGCGACTCCCGAGCTGTTTCGGTCATAGATTCTGCCACGTATATTCGGCGAGCGTCCGCTTCAGTGTAAAAGTCACAGCACGTTAGGAAGCCTTGTACAAAATCGACTATTTTACGCATAAAAGCGTTTCAGACTCCATTCTAACGAATGAAATTATATTCTTGACACTTCAAAGAATTGTTTAAGCAAATAAAAAATGGATTTTTTTTTCCTCAAAGGTGGTATAACTTCTTAAACGTTGATGGTAATGTTGCAAAACGTTTTAACATTCTAGTCACAAATTTTAGTAGTCTGAGCTTTCTCCGTACGGAAGAGAGATGATCCGTGCTATCGGCTGCTAATCCTCGGAGCCGAATGTGCAGACATGTTTGTGCTCTATTCCTGTATTTCGGCGATGTACTTTCGCTGTTTCGGTTCCGAGGTGTTACCAATTTATCTCGAGATTTCCGTCAGTCGAAACCAATTCCACTTCGAGAAACCAAACGATGCATCAACAATTATGCTGATGATTCAAACAAAATTATTTTCAATTTAACGTTGGCAAACAATAAGTTAATAATGCGTTCAGTACAGAAAGCAACTCTGCAACTGTTGTAAAATTCTTTTTGATACAGTTGGTTCTCGACTTTGGTTCCTTATGAATTAAAACGTATAAACCATGTTGAAAAATTTTACAACAGTTGTAAAACTGCTTTCTTTGCTCAACGTAGTTATTGATTCACTGTATTACATCGTGTTCTTGCTGAAAAACTCCCACGATTAATTTGCTTGTTCAAGAAATCATATAAACGCGTGAATCGAGCGATAAGGAGGCAAGAATGAAAGAATGGGGAGAAAACTGGTCCAAGCGAGCCGACACGAAGGGTGAAATCGCCCGCGTGATTCAGTGATTGCGAAAGAGTGCGTGTTTCACATAACGTATATCTTTGGAAAATAGGCATTACTTACATGCAAAGTATAGAATGTGTATGTGCGTATAGACATACATTCGCTAGTGTGAGACGACGGAACATGCGGTTTCTCGTCTCCCTTGCTTTTCGTACGGAAGAAATGATCCGTGCCATCGGCTGCTAATCCTGGTGCCTCGGAACCGAAAGTGCAGACACGTTGTGCTCTATTTCTGTATTTCGGCGATGTACCTTCGCTGTTTCGGTTCCGAGGTGTTACCAATTTATCTCGAGATTTCTACGAGTCGAAACCAATTCCACTTCGAGAAACCGAACGACGCAATTTAATTGTCCCCGACGTTAAAGCCTTCAATCTATACATCCTTGTATTTTTCTAAATAACTTCTCTTTTGTCATAATTTTCCGTGTAATAACTTGCGATCGTTCGTTCAGATTTCCGTAAGGGCTGCACTTTCTTGATTAATTTGAAAAAGTAAGACAGTCCTTTCCAAAATTTATGATCGACTTTACGACGCGAGTACTAATGTCTGTTATGATACATGTGTTTTTATAAAGTACAATCGGTTCTCTCTAAAATGATTTAGAGAAAGTTATATTTCATAAAACTGATAAGTTTTGCATGGAATTAATATTGACGCGCACATTCCACTTTTATGCAGCGTAAATTGGTGCGCTATAATATTATAAAGATAAAACAGGTGCGAGAAACGTTGACGATACTTCATTTCGTCGGAGTTTGCAGTGAATGAAAACGATCGGAATGATGAACGTCTCCATGGAATCTTCCTGAACGATCTCGCGAAATTGAACCGAAATTTTTTATGTTCTCAAATATAATCAGTGTATGCTATTAAAATTAATCGTATTATTTCAGCGGTGCTGCTCTGTCGTCGTTTAATGAATTACTGGATGACACTCGCGATAATTATCGTCAAACTTAGCATCTTTAACGAACGAGGATATGAAAAGAGAAAAGTGAATAAGTAAAAGGCCTTATCATGGATCAAACTGAAGACTTCCCTCCTATGCTACTCTTTTTCTCATTCCCGCGCAGTTGATTCAGAAATATTACCTCTCTATTCCAAGAGCAATTCGAAAAATCCGTTTAATCAATTTCCCTTTTTTTTTTGATAATTTTTCTTAATACAATTACATGTTTTTACATTTTAGTTTATTTAAATTCGTACTTTTTTTTATACACGAAGAGTAATAAGATAAATATTATCATGATAGTATCAGACTACTCGCTGATAAAGAATATAAATTAAATTGTACTACATATGTGGTTTCTTTTACTCCATCATCCTTTTAATATAATAATATAATATACACATATATACACAATTATATCACTACTAATTACATTTCCTATTAATACTGATTAATATTAAGATTATTGAAAAAAGGAAATGGAAATAGACAAAACAGGTCTTCAGAATCATTTTAAAGAATAAATATATATAGAAAGATTGTCTTTGTAGACCAATACGTATTTCTTGAGTCACGAACAAATTTATCTATGTATGAATATAATATAATCAGTCAAAACTAAACATATATTAAAATATTTCACTTGTATTGCATTTCAGCATTTTTTAACTGCATTACGGTTTTATAATAATACATTTATAATATCTTCGTGACTTGTTCTCGAGATTGTTTTTATCTTCCATTGTTCTATATTCTTTCATATCTTTGTATAAAAAGCTTTGAATTATTTTGCTTTTAATTTTTTTTTTAATTTTGGTTTGAAAGCCATGATAAGCGTTGCTGTCGCTTTTGTTTTCTCATATCCTCCACTATTGTACAAGGGACGTCTTAGATGAAGAAAAAACTGAGAATGAAATGAACGAATGTAGATGTGTACCCATGCGGGGAAAAATCGAAAATCGTGGATCATTTAGTGACGAGAGAAGGAATCGACCAGTCTTCGACTCGGTCCTCGACAGACTTTCTTTCGCTTCTCTTCTCCCGTTCATATCTGCCACGGTACGAAGGACCTTTTGAACCGCTTGCATTCATCCGATCTTGCACAGAGATTTGTGTGTCTTTTGAACAATACATTGCCTAAATATAAATATTTGTAATACTACAATTGATTTTTGTCTCAATTTTATATTTAATTATGCTTATCGACTTCTCTGATCAGGATGTTAAGCGCCTTGATAGAAATTCATATTCAATTATTATATTAAAAATGTTAAAGAATGTTATGTATTTTTATATTCGACGAGTAACGTACCAATTTACTGACGGATGTACTCGATTGCGGTTCACTAGGTTCGCATAAATCTTTAAATTCTACTATGATTTTTCGTGAGAATTGAACGAAATTTCAATTTTAGTAGCATTTAAAGATCACAGAGACAGTTGCGCGTGATTGGTCCGGTCCCATGAGAAGAAGAGAAACATGATGCATAGCAAAGTTTTGCTTCGTTTGTCAGATCGGACGATCTCGCGTATTAATTTAAGGCTTTATATATAAAAAAAATTGGGTGAAAGAAAATAGAACATATGTATAGATAGAAAATGAAAACGATCTTCGTAATAAATGCGTCTCAGACGTGCAGCGCGAGTCAGTTTGCTTTTGGATAGATCTCAAACTATTGTATGCAATTGTACAAACAAGTAATCTACTCTTTGAGGATTCTACACATCGGATTTATACAATATAAAAAAAAAGGGGACACCAGAAAGAGGAGGAATAAGTGACGAATTTTGCGCAGTGTGATGAGTCGCGTGATGAATCCGCCAAATCTTTATATATATTTATAAGTCATTCGATTTCTTTATATGGACTGATCATATTATATTAATAGCATATTCGTTGGTAACCTGTCGCTGCGCGCATAAAATTTCACGGGTGACTCATAACGAATCGTGCAAATCATGTAATCCTCGATTAGCAAAGACGAGGAGTCACCGTGCAAATAATATGAAAAAGATATATTTGTTAAAATTTGGACGCTGTCATTGTAAAAATGAAATTAACGCGATAAGCATAATTAGAAAGCGAAAAATTTAATTTGCAGTTGCATAATGAACTTTATAATAATACCATTTAATGATCGATCATAATACAACTCGAATTTCTTTTTTTTTTTTTTCTAATAGAGAAACACGCTTTTCTCTATTTCAAATATTATAGATTTGTAAGGCATGTAAAGGAATTGTTCAAGTCATAGAAAACGAATTTTTGTATATGACTTATTTATTTTTTATTTTTTTTTCTCATTTTCTCACTCGAGTTGGTTTACTTTCATTATTTCGCCAAGTTAAATGATCCTTTTTTGCGAGAGCGAGCGAAGTTATTATGATAAAGGTCATAATAACGAGATGCAGTTAGCACACATAACACGGACATGGCATACAGATAACGACTTGAAACCAATAACGGAGCCCTATCAGTGTATAACGCGTAGGGTATCGATATCTTATAATCAGGCAAAAGGTTGTTCTATGTATGATTGTGCGTGTAACATTGTTAATAAACATACGATGCTTATGAAGGCTCTCTTCTTTCTATTTATTTCACACCGCCGTAACGCGTTCTAATTAATGCTTAATCATAATCATGTCATTTTCAAAAAAATGAGATAACTGCGCTTTGTATTTTAACTTTTCTCTCTCGTAACAGATACACGTGGAAAGAACTGTTTTGCTGAAGTAATAAAAAATTTAGCTAAATACAAATCTGAAAATAATTTTGTTGAACCATTAAAATAATTATTTAAAATAATAATTAAAAATATTGATAGCAATAAGTTTTAACATTCTAGCATCAAGTTAAACATCCTACATATTGTTTTGACGAGAGATCTAAATAAAATTATTTTTTGATCTATACCTAACTAAATTAAGAGACACAGCGCTAAGATTTTTAAATACTTTAACAAAACTATTCTTTTTGTAAAAATTAAGGAACCGATGCTTCATATATGTTTCAAAACGATAGTTTTAATACAATACATATCATACATTTTCATTACGATCTTCCGTTTATTAATATAAATAGTTCATAAAGATGTTTGACTATTTGATCGCAATTACTCCGCAATTTGAAAAAAAAATTACAAAGTATCTTACAAGAAAACACGAACGTTTTTTTATGCACAAGTAACGGTGCTTTATTTGCCGATACAAAAGTTTTTGAATATGATGTCTAATATTTCATCAGTGCTAACGTGTCCCGTTATTCTTCCGAGTTCCCGCATCGCTTTGTGTATTTCCTCTGCCGCTATGGCCATGTCGTGCTGCTCGTGCGCGCACAATTCGAAGTACTTGTGCAGATGTCTGAAGCACTGGTCCAAGTGATTTCTATGCCTTGCCTGACTGATAGTGGGACATTCCGCGGATGGATTACCGCATCTAAACAAAATGTCATTATAATATAATTGTAATTGCGAGTGTCAATAATTATTGTTTATTCTATCGCGTACATATTACTGAAACGGTCTGTCAGCGATCGCAGCAAGTCCTGGAAACCGTCCTCCGTTCTGCAAGATACCAGAACCGTTTCAGCATCGTCGAAGTGTCGTTTCTCCTCCTCCTTCAGCAAATCTTTTTTATTCGCTATCACGATAAAACGTTCTCTTCCAATTGTCGCCATTAGCTCCTGTATTCCCAATAACGACAGGTATTCGCGTATGTAGTCTTTCCAGGTCATACCACTGGTTGCACACTTCAATGCGTCCACCATAACGACCACAAAATCAGCGTTCTCTGCGTGACTTTTCGCTCGACGGACACCCTCGGCTTCGACGATATCCCTGATGTCTTCCGTGATACCGGCGGTGTCCGCTATCAGCACAGGATAGCCCGAGATGTTCGCAGTCAGTTCGATGACGTCCCTCGTGGTGCCGGCGATGGGTGTGACGATGGCGGCATTTCGCTGCACCAGGTGATTCAGCAGACTGCTCTTGCCCACGTTGGGTTCGCCGATGATTACAGTCCTCACTCCGTTCCGTAGAATTTCGCCGCGTCTGCCGTCAGCCAGGTGTTCCTTCAGCTCTCGCATCAGTTGTCCGAGAGCTTGGTGCGCGTTCTGTACCACGTCACTCTCGATGTTATCCTCTTCACCGAAGTCGATGTACGCCTCGATACTCGCCACGGACTCCGAAAGGACTTTTCTCCAACTGTTATACAGTTTACGCAGAATACCATCGGCCTGTAGTAGCGCTTGCTTTCTCTGATACTCGGTCTCAGCCTCTATCAAGTCGGCCAGGCCCTCCACTTCCGTCAGGTCTAGCTTATTATTGTAGAAGGCGCGTCTGGTGAATTCACCCGGTAGCGCCGGATGCACCTGCAGTCTCGAGAGAGCTTGCATCAGCTTCGTCAGGATCGCTGGTCCGCCGTGTACGTGAAACTCCACGGAATCCTCGCCGGTGAACGAGTGCGGACCTATAAACGGATGTTCTAATCAGGCATGTGATTTTTTTAAAGCATTCCTGATAGAAGATTCCTCCTTTCATTTGTCACCACTGATAAGACACCTGTTATCACAACTAGAAACGATTTGATTCTCGGTGAAATATGTTATTCCAAGGCACATATATCTTTTTATATCGGCTCAATTTGAGATCTAAGGAGTTACATTATAGGAGTAGATTAGACTTAGATTTTTGTGTTTAAAAACATATTTCAAGGAGAATTCCCTTGTCACAGTTCTTTAGAGACTGTCTCCTAAAATATTTATGTGTATACCAAATTTTTAAGCAAAATATGTTTTTGTATGAGTACTTATAATTCAAATTTATAAGTAAAAATAAAAGTATATGGGTTATATCAAACGTGTTAATTCTTTGACAACTTGAACTTTAATTCTTTTATCAGCAATAGATCTTCAAGAAACAGATCAAATTTTTTGTTTCAGATTATATAAAAATCTAAGAAAAATCTAGTGCACTTTTTTTTATCATAACTTCATATAACACGATTTTTTAGTATAATAGAATTTGGATTACATTTTACATTTATTTTTTCCAGATTTAAATTTATCTGCCAAAATTCTAATCAAAATATCGATGGTGCCTTTAGATTCTAAATGGCTGATGAAAGAGTAAAAAGGTGAGAATTGTGCGAAAATTGCACGCACCGGGAAACCACAAGCAAAGTCCATTGTCGATGACCTCTCCAGTTTCTGGATCGCGTATTTTTCGCAGGAAGGCTCTCCTCGGTTCCAGCTTGGATATGCTTGTCATCTTTTTCAGTGCGTCTAAAGATCGGCTTCCCGATATTCTCACCACTGCCACGCCGCATTTTCCGTGACCTTAAAAAATATTTTTATTTAATTCTTGTATATGTAATGCTTAATGTAAATTTATGTCAATGATTAACTTATTTTCCATTTGTTTCTAGTTCTAAGAATTAAAAAAGACAAAGAGTAAATTAAATCAAAATTAAATTAAAGTTAATCTACAATAGTACAAATAGACGTAAATTGAATTATATATATTATATATATATAATTAGATTTCTAACAATGTAGATTAATTTCAATGTAGATTTAATTTCATCATTTTCTAATTCCTAGAAGAATTATAAAAAGCTAAAAAGTATGTTTAATTAAAGTTAATCTACATTGATGAAAATGGACATAAAGTTATTCGAATCTTGGTCAAAGCTTCTTTTGAAGAACTGACTGTTGTCTATTTTTAGTACAAGTTACACTTTACAGTATTACAGATTTAGTTATACAGATACAGTTACTAAATTACAGATTAATTTTAATCTCGATTATTTAACTTGGTCTTCATTTTATGAGATCTGGAGACACGGTAGTAAAAATTACTGTTAAAAACGGGTATATAATTTTAGACTAAAAAATGATAAAAAGTCAAATCAAGATTAAAATCAATCTACATTGGTAGAAACGGACATATGAAAATCAGAGGGAGGGGGAAGACACTCGAGCCAGCGAGTCTTTATTACAATTTGTCGGAAGATTTACGAGAATCAGCATTTCAAGATCCACCCTCCCTCGTTATTGCCGTACAAGGGCGTGTTCAGATTCCCATCTGAGTTCTCCCCGGGTGTTATGTTATCCTTGTTTAATATTTGGTAAACAATAAGGATAGAAGGATACCTGGGTAGCACACTCAGGTGGGAATCAGTGGGAATCTGAACATAACCCAAAGTGTAAGTGTAATAACCGGAAGACAGAGCACAAATGGTCGTGCCCTTGCGATCGTTCACGAGACAGTTGGCGGTAACGTGGTAACGCGATGTCCCGCGCGACACGACAGACCGCGCACTTCGAGAACATCCACGGACGAGGGAATAGGAACACTCGCGAAGGAGTGTCGGAGACACGAAGAAGCGCATAGCGAGTTTACTTTACTACTCGTGAAACGAAATACATATCGACGTGTGTCGACAAGATAAGTGAGACAAGTGGACGGCAGAATACTACGAAGAGACAGCGATCGTGGAATCACACAGTGAGATACAAGACTGCCGGAAACGAACGCTGTGCTGCGCTAGATACGTGTGATCAGCATTGTCGATGGCTTTATTGGAAGTAGTTAGGAATCGGTAGTTTCTTCTCGTTTGCTTTCTAAATCGGCAAAATTCCTCTTGTCCATTGATCATCACAATCGCCATTTCATGTTGTGCTACAACAGCATGTTTAATCCTGGAGTAAAGCTACGAATCATTTAGATCTAAAATGAACAATTTTAGACGGTCTCTCGTATAATCTATATGATTGGTACTAGGTACTTTCCAAAACTTAGAATGAAATCTCATTCTTAAAGATTAAAAATTTAGCCATTCTTTTTTGAGATTTGATATGGATAATCATTATTAAAGTATACTCTACATTTTATAAGAGTGAAATCTCACTCTCTTAAAGATTGAAATTGAACCAGTCTTGAAAACGAGTGATTCAATTTTCAGTCTCTAAGAATGAGATTTAATCTAAAAGTTTCACAAAGTATGCATCCTTGACTAATACATTACTTAACATATTTCAGGTATGAGACACAACATTAGAATTATTAACTAATACGAATACAAAACCTATAATAGTCTAAAATTATTGTTCTTGCACAATGGAAGATCTAGAGGAACAAAACTCTCTAATAGCAAACGAAGTAATACTAGATAGATGCAGCAACTGGGTGGAATCCCAGAAGAATTGCATCTATATCAAAGAAGACTTCCAAAAGCCAGATGAATTGGAGTATGATGATTGGTGTATCACAGACTCAGAATTCGACTCCGTCTCAGAGTGTGGCGGGAAGAAACGTAAAGTGAGAACACAACTGAACAACGAGGTACTGGATCTGGTCTGCGAGTGGAAGGAGTGCACATTTCGCAGCAATCATTTGGACCAATTTTTGAGGCATGTCTCGAGTCACATACCTAACATACAGATAAGTATAAAAGATGACAATGAGGTCTACGTATGTCAGTGGAAAGATTGTCCATATAACATCGATGTAGGCGACGAAATAATACGGCATGTTAATTATCATGCCTATCACACCAAGTTGAAGTGTATTGGGTCCAATGTTCGTGCAAAAATCAAATTACCTGTAAGTAACGATGGATATTTTCTAGCAAGAAACACAGATAAAACAGTGAATCATTATATCTTTGTTTCTTAATCTTAAATATTAAATGTTAAACATAAATAATTGAAAAGAGCAATACTCAGTCAAGGCGAGGTACCTAATATTATATCAACTTTACAATTTCTAGTTCAAACAAAGATGAAATGATTACTGTGTCTATTGTTCGAAAACTCCACATATTGGTCATCAATGGAACAAAAAATCAAACATTTTTTTGCAGAAATGTCATAGAGATGCAGAATGGAAGAATATTTTAGATTCCCCACCTCCACATTTGTGCAGATGGGAAGAGTGCCTGAAATCGTTCACAAATTACCAAATGTACTTGTATCATGTTACTGTACACTTGACGAATTACCCACGTAGCAACAAAGTCAAAAATGGAATCGATTGCAAATGGATTGGATGCAATGGCAAATATTTTAGCTGGTACAAATTACGAGATCATCTAAGATGTCATACGAAAGAGAAAATAGTTGCTTGTCCGGATTGCGGTGTCACGTTTGCCTCAAATACAAAATTTCACATACATTGCCAGCGACAAATTCCCTTGGAAGGTAATAAATTCATTATACATTCCGGCATCTCTTTCACATTTTGTTTTTAAAATATGTCTTAAATTTACAGTGCAGGGATTTCGTTGTTCGCATTGCAACAAGTTTTATCCGACCGAAGGAATCTTGCGCGATCATATGAGATCCCATGTATTCAATTATAAATGTACTCTATGTGACATGAGCTGTGAATCGCCGTCTGGCTTGGCAAAACACGTCAGATACCGTCACATGTCAACTAGAACGTATCCATGTCAATTATGTTCGCATGCTGCTAAGTCTCAACAGGATCTTGATACTCACATGACTGTCCATACTAATGGACCGAATTTTTCTTGTTACTTTGAAGGATGTCTTTACACGTGCAAGGGAGCTTACATCTTGGATAGGTAATCATAAAGCTCTTCGTTAATAACTTATTCTTTATTTGATTGTTAAATATATTACAGGCATTTAGAACGAGTACATAGTTTAGCAGTGCGATGGTATTGTTGCCACGAATGCCCGATTAAATATCGGACGAGTTCTAGGTTGACAAAACACCTTGTAGAAGCCCATCAATTACAATTGCCTAGTGGCCACAAACGCTTCCATTATACACAGGAAGAAGACGGGTGTTATAGGATACAGAAGGTTCGATACGAGGCTGTGGATGAAGAAAACATGGTGCCTGTCGAAGAGGCGGATTTACCAGATAAAAAATTTAAAATAGAACTCAATCAAACTACCTCGTTGACAGCAGTAAAAGTGAGTTTCATGATAATTTAACGTTATTCAATAGTTTTATTACAATACGTTGGAAATCATATAATGATGTGTTCCAGATAATCGAGGATAATGTGGAAGAAGAAATGGAAGCTGCACAGGATTCACAAAAGGAAACTGAGGAGAACGACGCTGACAAGATTGTACCTGTTATATCTAATATTTTAATATCTATCGATGACATAGATGAGAAAGGGAATATTATAAAACAGGAGATCGTCGAGATACAAGAAATGAAAGAACTACCATCGGAAAAACCACTGCTAATTTTAACATAGCTTGATGTTTTTAGAAAGATATTCTCTTCGACATTTTTGTATTTTTATATAATTACGTATTTTTTCTATGATTTTGCATTACTGCCATTACACTCTACATTTATTATTCCATTTGATTTGATACAAATGTGCAACAAAAATTTATTTTTATTTGCCTCCTTAACGAATTATATTTTCAAAAATAATTTACATGGCAAGAATAATAAGTATTTTATGTAACAAACTGAATATTTATTTTTACAAAACATTTTCGCTGAATAATTTTGTCTTTGCTATATTCAAGTTTACAGAGTGTAGTTTAATATAAAGGTATCCACAATTATCTATCATTACATCTTGCAAAACAGAAAATTATGTTCCACTGTAACGATACTTTTATAAAAAAAAATAAATTACCTGGTGCTCTCGTAATGTTATTTTAAGAAAAATTCTATATAGAAAAAGTGTAATTATCTTCTTTTAAATCCATATTTCTTTCTCTCATAGAAGAGATCTGTCTTTGAGCTTCCTAAGTTGACTATCTTGGGACATCCGTCTCTCTAAAAACATGAATATACACTGAACACAGAATTTGTAAACATACTAAGTCTCATGTCTGTTTTATGGATCAATTTTAATGTGTTAATTTTTATTGTTTATCCTTCTCTAATTCTTACAATTAAAAAAAGAATAAATTGAACTGAGATTAAAGTAAATATAATAAAACTGATATATTAGTCAATATGAAAGAAAATAAATTAATCATTAATTTTAATTATTAACAGCATTGTTGCTCAATACTTCAAATAATTTATTACTATCATTTGATAATAATTTGACCAATATTAAATTCTTATAAGGAATTTAGTTGAAAAGAATAAACTAATATAGAATTAGAGAGGGAGAGGGGTGGGGTAAAAGTTTTCTTTAATTTATCTATTAATTAATGCATTATGTGTAGATGCAACTTTTATAGAGCAAAGTTACATTTACGCATGTGTGATTGATCAATCAATGAATTAAAGTCTTTGCTTACGTCTTTTTCCTGTATCGTGCATTCTTTACAATAATACGCGTCCGATACGCCGGGACCACCGCATATCACGCAACGTCCTTGATAAGAACCGTAATTGCACTCGTCGCATATTCTAACCAAGGTGCACGGCCTTACGTAGGAGTCACAGATGACACATTTACCATCGCATTTCTCGCATAATCGACCAATGGCTAAAAAAAAAGATAATTGTTAAAATAAAATGTTTTGTTGTGATGGAGTTAGACACAGGTTAGACTTAACCTCAACTCACCGACTCCCGGTTGCTTGCGACAGAAGATTAAATCCGGATGATGCTTGGCCATGCTCGTTGAACGTCGTTATTCACTCAATCTTTTTTAATTAATGGCTCACGCCTCCAAAGTTCATTCTTAAAATGACTGAAAGCTGAGAAAATCAGAAAACGATTACATCGGCATCACAGAACATAAATACTCGTCTTATGGGTTATGGGCGATTCGTATTCGATTATTTTAACATCGATTATTTTTCTGGGAAATATCGATTATTGACACGATGTTTTTCTAATTTGATTATTCCCTAGACGATAGTTTTTTTGGTTCGATGTAACTAGAATTGTTGATTCCGTTGAATTTGCTGAACGCAGCCAATCTATGAATGCCCTTGTCTGTGATTGTCTGTTGAGGTTGTGTTGACCGAAATAGTGGTTTTGATCGATTTTGATCACGTCCAATATTTACGGTTTAAGATTTTTTTATTGTCAGAAATGGCTGAAGCGATGCGTCAAACTGTAACTGGAATGCTGAAAGGCATTGAAAGGTTTGGTTTTTTTTTATTTCTGTTGCACTTTTTATCCGCACAAATAATTTTCCTATGACATGTTCACGTGCGACTCACAAGTGTTTTACTGGATAAGAATAAAAAATAAAAATTTATCATTGTGTGCACAATCCTTTTAAGAGACACAATCGATAAAAGTTTAGTTTCGTTTTATATTTGTTATTCATTGACTGTCGAGAAGAACAGAATGACATTTATGTACATTGACTGTATCCCTCAAAAGGAAAGATAACAATGACAACTTTCCGTTTTTATACAAGCGCTGCTGATTACTGAGTCTAATGTTACATATTTTATATTTTACTTTATGATAGTGACATATTATTTGCGTACTAAAAAAAATTATCGTATAACATAATGTGAGTTAACAAGATACAGAGAAGGATTTTGTCACAACTGTCAAATTTATTTGATCTTTTTTTTATATTGTTAAACAAAAATCTAATAGATACATATTTATTTTACATTGGTTCAATTTGAGACTTCAAGATTCAAAGACCTTTCAAAATTTAATAAGGGAGTTTTTCAAACTTATTACACTTTCGAAAAATCTAGATATGTATAATAGTTATAAAATATATAAAAAATTTTTGTCTAAAAACATTTTTTATATATTTTACTATTTGATAAATTAGAATCAAATATAATTATTAGCTTATTTCACCTTTTTAAATTCAATCAACATGAAAAAATATACATCTTAGATATTTGTATTTAGCAATATATTTCAAGAAGAATTGAATTGATTCTGGTCAGTTATGCTAGTAAAACATACGATTTCAAACTTGTGCAGATTGTAGGTAAAAATTCAGTTAAATCTCTTTTTTCATAATGAAAAGAAACATGCATTCAACTGAGTTATGATGTCATAAATGAGAATTATATCTGAATTTTGGTGTAAATGGAAAAAGCACATGTGCGCGCGCATATATGCATGCACACACAGAATTACTAATTATGTATTTATAATAATTATTTAGATTTTTTTTTCTTGTACTGATTAAAGTGAATGTGTTTTCAGATATAATCCGGATAATCTTACAACTTTAGAGAAGTACGTGGAAATTCAATCCAGAGAAAATGCTTATGATTTGGAGGCAAATTTGGCTGTTCTAAAACTGTATCAGTTAAATCCACATCGATTCAACATGGACATTACGTGTCAGATATTATTGAAAGCATTGACTAATCTACCACACACTGATTTTGTATTGTGCAAATGCTTGCTCAGTGAGAAGCTTGTAAGCCTCAATTGAAGCATACAGGATAATTTTCTTTTGCGTTAAGTTATTTATATGCAATTTTATTGATTTCTAGATGTCAGAAAGCCCTATTAATCAAATCATGTATCTGGGAGATATCTTGGAACGATGTGACTTTCAGCACTTTTGGGACAGGATGTTGTCCATGTCGGAGCTTTGTGATAGAATTGTAGGTTTCCAGGATTCGATAAGAAAGTTTGTGTGTCATGTTGTAGGAATCACATTTCAAACGATAGATAGAACACTCCTGGCACAATTACTAGGCGGTGTGGATGGTATGACATATACAGTTTTTACTTTAATATTGCACGAATTGTAAAGTTTATTAAGCTTTTTTCTTTATAGATGCAACATTGAAACATTGGGTGAAAAAGTATGGTTGGAAAGAGGAAAATAAAACGATCATCTTTGTTGCAAATCAAGATGAAAACATTAAAACCAAGAATATTACTGAAAAGATTGATTTTGAAAACGTGGCAGGTTTGATGGCTGCTTGTCTGTAAAAATATTAGTAATTACACTTTAATAAAATTTATTACAAAATTCTTACTCATCATAATTAGTTGATTTATTAAAATATTTTTAACAAATTGATTATAAAGATTTATCCTTGCTGCATGTATAATTTTATAAATTTGTTTTCTAAAAAGATGTATATGTAATAATAATCTGTACTATTTATGATTCTATTTTACAATTTTTGACATGTTTCTGATATATTCTCTACACCGTTCATCTGCATTGTTTCATTCATTTTTGTATCGGCATCATGACATCCATCAAAATTTTTTTCCTTATGATCTTCCTCAATTTCCAAGTCTTTGCTGCTACATTCATTTACAGTGATTGCACTGGACTTCATATTCTCTGCATCGTGAGCAGCCGATAAAGCGGCCTGCGTTTCCGCTGAAGTATCATTCTTTAAGATTTCACGCAGAGCCATTGTGGCATAACTACTAGACTTCAAACACATTTCTATGATCAACGCTTTGTTCTTTCCATCTGAAAATATTTCATATAGTTTGAATCATTTTTTAAAACAAATGTTTCAAATAAATGTAGAAGTGATTGATTTACTTGGTTTATCCTGTGGAGATGTAAGTTTCCTCATTTCGTCGATGTCTGTTAGGATTAGATCGTCATGTTTATTTTCATAATGCACAATCTTCCATGATAAATTCGTTGGAATTTCTAATATATTTCTATAAGAACCACCTAAACTGTATTTTCTAAAAAGAAAGATGAATAAACGATAGTAACAATTTATTATAATATTATGTTTGTAAGTAAACTCACTCACTTGATATTTTGTTTAAGATCGGTAGTTAATCCATCCTTGGCTAAAAATTCATCGAACCAAGCTTTCGCATATGGCGGATACGTAACTTTCCATCCAGGCTGAGGTATGACTACGTCGGCCAAAGTGTAATTCGACAAATCTTCTTCTGTAAGAATTTTCACTATTGGAAAATCCTGCTCCGAATTTTCTTTATTTACTTCATTCGATGTTGACTCGATATCCTTTTCTTCGACAGAGGTAATATCAGTTTTATCTTTAATGTCTTCATTCAAAGAACAATCCGTAGTTTCGTCATTTATAATCTCTTTACAATGCTGTTTGTCGTAAACTAAATCACCTACGACCACTTCTGTCCCAAACTGTTTTATTCTTCTCGATACAATGTGATTCCATACGAAACTTTGATAAGCATGAATATACATTAATCGAATGTTTCGATGGACTGAGTCGAGTACGCCTAAAGGATTTTTATCACCCGATATTTGTAAAGCTTTCAAAAGCGTGGCTTCAATTGTATCGATTCTTTTGAGCTTGGCATAGGCAGCATGGGCATCTTTGGTTTCCACATAGATTTGTCTAGCCTCCGCCAATTCATGATCCTTTTCTGGCCGCGGTTTCAGAATTAGTTCAATCGCTTCGTGCCATTTACCTAATAAAAGATAATACGACATACATAAATTAAATAAAAGTACACAAAAGATAATACAACATACATAAATTATATAAAAGTACACAATTGGGTAACTAAAACCTTGGCTGTCTAAGATAGATCTTTAGTGCTTAAATATTATTTTCGGTACGAATTTATATATATATCTCGTTCTGCAATATAAGATACCAAAAAAAAATTTTCTAAATATCTAGCTCAAATCGTTAAAGCTTCAATTACTCAGTTGTATATTTACATTTGCGGTTTTAAGACACTTTGTTTAAATAAAAATGTTGTCTAATATATATGGAAAACAGTAATCACCCTGAAGTAGACATTTTCCGATTTCGTGCGTGGGTATAGTAGGTACTGATCCAAATCTTTGTAAACCGTAATAATTAATAAAGCCATTGTTCCGCAAAGACATCATTGCTTGCTCGATATTTTCGTCTATCTCACAGACGTTTCTCAGCGCTATCCTAAATTGATTACCACGCAGCATACCTAATTTCAGGCTGTCTTTAGCGTATTTAAAATTCCCTACATATACACCGCGAATACTTTTACCCGCTCGCAATATACTATGCGGTTCTACCTTTCTCAAACTGATCCACTGAGTCGTCCAGGCTCGGCGGTCTTTCGTACCGGCATAACAAAAGTTATTCGGCTGTAATCGCAAACTTACAGCCAACTGATTTACAACGCTTATTGTATCCATGTTTACTTTGTGCAACAGAAAGTGACAGTAATCTCCTCCTAATCTGCTCCAATCTATTCTCTTATCTTTGCGAATCTTAGGACCTAATATAACAATCAAAAATAATATAACAATCACAAAAAAGTCTTTTTTTATATGGAAAAATCTACAACTTACCATTTGCGTCATGTTTAGTATTCAGCACAATCATGAGGAACTTTTTATCGCCTTTATCTACAGTTTGGCTGACAACATTCGCTAATTTCTTTGCAATTGTATGAATAGTCCTACGTCCAACTTTATCAATGTTAGTTACATCAATTTCCACGTTAGAAGGATTTTCCTTTTCCAAAGCTTGCAACTGGTCCCATATTGTTGATGACACCAATGCCTTCAGATCTTCGATACTTTCGTCGTCACTGGGATTACGCGGAATGTCTTGGTGAGTCAGCTTTGCTACTTGTCCATCAAGATCTATCTCGTTGACATGAAAGTCCTTGTACCTCTCTTTAATTATAGCAAAAAAGCCAACGTGCTTGCCAATATATTCCGTAATTCCTAAGTCAGATTCTTTCAGTCTACTGCCAACATCCAATTTGCTTCTCTTTACATTTTCTCGTGGTGAACGGTCTAAGATGCGTTTGAAGTTCCGTCTGTTAGACTTGTTGTGATAACCACCTTTAAAGAAACAATCGCTTTTTAAGCTGACTTTAACGTAACTCTGATTAACTTAATCGATACTATTTTTAGTAAGTAATATATATAAAATTATTAAATTAAATATAAAATAGATAAAATAGTACAGGACTCTTAATATTCAAAATGCAAAAAATATATATATAGAGCATATAAAAGTCAAATAATGATAAACTAAGAGAGACGTCTTATATTGCTGGTTTTCAATATCATTATTATATAATTTTATTTTCTTTGTATTCTCTTACATAGAATAACAAGAAATTTTCACATTCGGTCAACCAATCGCATGATGAACAATTTCCATGTCTCTGAACATTCATCAGCATTACAAATAAATCAGCAAATATTTAGCTTTAATTTTTTTGCACGTAATTTTATAATTTTTTTTATATCTGAATTAAGAAGGCTTAATATAAAGCCGAAACATGTAGGAGATCTAAAATATTATTTATTTGTTTTTGCATTAATTTTTTAAAATACACATATTAATTTATTTTTTAGTTTATTGTTATATTTGCGTATATTTTATATGCTTTATATATTATATATATATATTTTTTTTGTATTTTAAATAATATGAATAAAACTATTAAATTAAAAAAGATTAAGAAAACTGTTAGAGAATTTATCTTAAAAGACTTAAATGATTCTGTTGGTTGAATTTCATAAATCGCCAACTAAATTAATTAGAATTTGGTCGAAGTCGCCCTTAATTGCGGCACGAAATGTTCGTTATCAAAAATTATAAATAATAATATTATGAACAATAATATAGTGTTATAAACGATAAATTACCTCTTCTCCTTGGTCCATGGAAGCGATTCTTGCCATTTTCGGCAGAACCTCTGTTTGTATTGGCAAACATCGCGATTCGGTGAACACAATAATCGTGAGACGATTGCTCACAACCAGTTTTTGCAATATCAAGCGATATCAAGTTAAAAATTCAGTTATTATATTTCTCGAATGTGGGAAATGTGTCAAAGAAGTACGCAGGTCCAGGTATACAAACATAACCACGCGTGTCACTGCGTGTCACCGTCACGCTGCCATGTTCTTTTTCTAACGTTGAACCGTACCGCCATCTTGCCGAGATTTCTCGCGTGAACAAATTAAAATCGATACTCGCGATATATCGATTTCAATCGTGCGGTCAACTTCAGCAACAGCGCTAAAATTTCTTTTGACAAAATGGAGTCTGATCTTCGTCGAATTGACCACGTATATATTATATTATATCGATACAAATAAAGTAAAATGGATAAAAATTTAAGGTAGAGTTATAGTCTTCATTTCAATGCATTGCATAGACATTTGTTTTTAAGTTTTACAAATTTATCTCGACAATATAACCTCGGTCACGCTTTTAATATCTTCGATCATGTCCTGCCCTCGATATCTGCCTTCGTTTTCTAATTCCGCTGCTATTTTCGTGTCTTTAAATATTAAAGAATATTAATTTTGAAAAAATATAGTCGAGAATTGCATTCCAGAAGGATTTATCAATATTAACAAGTAAAATCTAGTAGCAATTTATCGACGATGCATATTAAAATACACAGTTAAACATTTGAAATGTATTGACTAATGGTGAGCTGATATTTAATCAATATTATATCAATAATTGTACTACTAGAGAAATTGATAAGTATAAAGAAAAATTTCATATAAAGTCATACAACAGATTATTTTTTATAGCAATGTAAATTTCTTACGGGCATGTATTTAAAATATGTACTTTTATTTGAAAAATGGTAAAACAAAATTGTAACTTATTGCATTTTGTATTTCAATTCAATGAAGCTGAAAAAGTTTTATATTTTATATTTTATAGGAGTACATAAAATTAATATTTTGTATTTTAAATACCAAGATTGGTAATTAATCTAATTATTATTAAATTACAAAATACATGAAACTTTTAACCTAAATTTTAAATACAAAAATGTAATACTTTTATGTGTATCACTGAAATATAAAATATAAAAGACACTTTTATTACAAAAACTGTATTTTGTATAAAATATTTCAAATATATATCTAGTCTTGATTACAATACTCCAACGATATTGCGATTACATTGTAAACATTGTAACAATGTTCCTGAAGGTTTCTGTATTGTATAGGAAAATATATTTTATTTGATTCGCAACATATATCTAACCGATTCATTTTATTTTCTAGGATGTCAAGAAGAAAGGATCGTAGTCTTTACGGTAAAGAGAAACGAGTTGTTCTGAACTGTCGAAGCGTGTAAATAAAGCACATAACAAATTCCCTTTTCGTTCAGGAAGAGAAAAAAAAACAGATTCGTGAGAAACGAGCCAAGAGGTAGTCCGGCGCTGATTGCGCGTGAAAATACCAGGAGAACGCATGGCTGTGGGGAAGACAATAATAAAACGCGAAAGTATGATAAAAGCGCGTGTGAAATAGAAGACAAGGTAAGACCAGAATTGGATCTAAACAAAAAGAAATTTTAAAATATCGCATATTGTGTGTAACGTCTTTTTTTCGAGAGAAAATGTTATGAAAAAAAGGATTAAAACATCTCATAATAATGTCGACACTCAGAATCTTTGCTTTTTCCTTTTTCGACGCTTGAAATATACATATTTATCACGTTTTAAGTGCAAAAATATTTAAGAATTTTAAGCAATGCGCGAATATAAACTTTATAACATTGACGTTATGTTATACTTTTAAGTTCTGTCGATTAGGCCTGATTTCGATGTAATTATTCTAATGTCTATTTCTACCAATGTAGTTTAATTTTAATTTTGGTTCAACGAACTTTTCATCTTTTTTCTAAGAATTACAGAAAGATGAAGAGTAGGAGTTGAATCGAAATTAATTAATCAACATATAAACAGTCGTCACAAAAAAAGATAATTGAACCGAGATTATAATCTTAGGGTGGGTGAAACCAAGCCTAAGGACGATTTCACATTGCCAAACAATGTCATAAAAAAAAAAAATCGCATGGTGAGAAGAGAAATTTTGCTCGGGGCGACGCACAGGAAGAATCTCCGAATAACGGTCCTGGGGTGGGCGCACGCACCCTCGCGAAGTACGAAACGACCCAAGTGGACGAATGGGGGGTGGGAGCGGGGGACGCGTACGCGCGTGGATTACTACGCGCGGGGGCGTAATGGTGGGGGGCGGGAGGGAGGAAGGACGCGCCGTGTCAGTCCAACGCGAGCCACGGACGAGTGTGGGTCTCGCGCGCGCGCGCGTGCGGGTGATTGCCGTCGCGTTTTGCATCAGTGGGCGTAATCGGCGCCCGTCGTCGCCGTCGTTGACAACGACGCTGTTTCTCACCCCGGCCTCGCGCGCGTAGCTGACCCGTCGTCGTCGCGTTTCAGCGTGGCGACGCCAGAGAATTCACGTGATATAACCGCGGAGTGATAAAATCGTCACCGCGGCGCCCCGCGCGTTAACGCGTCGACAAGCGGTCTCTTCCCCGCGCGGCGATTCGCGACGCGAGCCCAAATGCCGCGAACTTAACCCGCGTATCTCTCACGCCGATTACTGTGCGCCGCGACGTAACAAAACGCGACGCGACGCGACGCGGGAAAAATCGGATGCGCGTGTCGCCGAGGAGGAGCGGGGGTGCCGACGCGGGATGAGCGCGAGAGAAGTCACCCTCTACGGCGGGTCCCCGTGGGGCTTCCGCATGCACGGCGGCTGCGACACGCATCAACCCTTGCGCATCTCCAGGGTGAGTGAACGTCAACGACGCGTCTGGCGCGGTCACGTGATTGTAGACTCGAAATAAATTGTACATTTTTGTTTGTCGAAGGCTACGATCTCAACTTGTCTGTGTGGTTCTTTCTCGCGGTCACGTGACCTTTTTTTTTTCTTTTTTTTAAATAAATACGAGAATATTTTAAGAATAGATTGTGTAGAGAATGGATTATATTTCTTGCTAAATCGAGATTTGCGTATAACGTTACGTTATAATATCACACGCGTATTTTACAAAATTAGAATTATTGAACGAACAATTTGATTATTCTATTATACATATGATGCTAATATTATCATTAATAATAGTAATTATTTTCTTGCTATATAGCAAGGTGCGTCAGTCATGTAATTTATGCTCGGTGTAATGCATGTGAAATAGTATACGTAATCATAATTACATTATATCCCGAATTTGAATATTTGATGAAGACATATTGCTATAATCGTTAATTAACAAATATCGTATATTACTCATGTATACAGTTCAGTCCACAATTTCGATTTATCCGCATTATTAATCTCGACCACACAACTCGAATTTATTCGTTGGAATATAGTATTTCCACGTTTCGTCATGTTTCTCGTGAAAACACCATAAAATATATCGATAGAAAATAAAAAATAATAAAAGACTCTAAAAAATATATTATAAATCACAAAAGTACAAATATCAATCAGAGCCAATGCTAGAGGTTTGTGTGCGAATTCAAATTCTTTATTAAATAACATAATTAATTAGTTTCGGCCCTTCGCTTTTAAATTATCCTTAATAGGTAATTACACTGGGAATCTCATTTGAATCGATTAATCTCTTGTTTGGATATGGATAAATAAATTTTTACTGTGCAATAAAATATTTTAGTTGAAGCAAAAAATTTATATTATCAGAAAGAGGTAAAGTATTATATAATTACCAAACTTTTTGCTGCGACTAAATTATTTTATTGCATCAACCAAGGATTTGTTGTCTATATTCAAATAAGAGATTAGTCGAGTCAATCAAATGGGATTCTCAGTGTACAAAAATGAAATATGATTGGAATTATTACATGGAAATTAAAGTGAATATCGCAGTCAAGTATATTAAAATAGGGCAAGTCACGCTGAGTTTCATTAGACGCGAGTGTGTCGGAAATGGGCTGGCAGTGAAATCTTGTCAATCATTAATCCGTGTTCCATCGCAGTCTCATTTTAATGTACACAGTTTATCTTATCTAATGAATCGTAAAAAAAAAAAATGAGAGAAAAGTACGAAATGAGAAAAAAAAAATGTACGAACACGCAGCTTCTGCTCGTTATTATCCAATTTTGGCCGCATCTTGGGGTTTACCGTTTATCACCGTATAAGCGGTGAAACGAGATAATCGCGCGAGTGGAAAAAGTTGCATCGATCTGCCCCGCGTAGTGCGGTATACTTTTATCACTGAACACGCCACCGTAATTTTCCTCGCGACCACTGCAAATCCGTACCCACTTTCGTATCAACTCCATCATTCTATAGACGACTCTTCGGGTTTTTTTTTTTTTTTTTTTTTTTTTTTTTTTTTTTTTACAAAGATACTTATCGTATTACGTATTCAGGTCGAAACGTTGCGCAATTTTCCAACTCGCCGCCGTAATTTTCTTTGCAGTCATTGTGAATCTGTATGTACTTTACATATAGACTATTCTAGATAGGAAAAATGATGTTGTAATAACAGCATTAATAAACAGCAATCTAAAAATAACTTTGTTTATTCAACAATAGTATTATTAATTCTAGAAGTACTGGTTTCTTACTTACTGAAAAGCTTAAGCTAGTATGAAAATGAAAAGTGACGACAAATTAAATATTTTATTGATATAACGGACACATATTTTTATTGCTGTCAATGAATTAACAAGATTATTTTGAATTATTTTAGACTGCTGTCAGTTAATGTTATTAATACAATATTATTTTTTTCCCTGTGTAGACAATTCTTTTAGTTTATAAGAATAGAAATTTTATATATTTTTATTTATAAAGATTTATAAATTATAACATACACATATATTTGTACAACACAGTGTGTTGTACAATTTTCTAATGCACAATTAGAAAATTCGTACAAGATAAACGTGATAATTTCTTGTTTAACTGACATGAATTAAGATGAGATCGATAATTTATTCAACGTATAAGTACTGTACGTAATCACAAGATGACACGTAATCACGGAATTCTGGAAAATGGTCGGCTAGTTACGATTTCAGATAGTTTGATCAAGCTACGGCGAAGGTCAAGCGACAAGAGCCTTGACTTTTTTGCCTCGTTCTACCTGTCTTCATAATACCAGTCGCTTTATTCGAATAATTTTTTACTCTTTCGTTGACCGCGTGTCTAGTCTTGATTATACAGAGTAGTCACGCAATTAGAAATTATAAGAAATATATTAGAAATAATAATAATGAAGGGAAATATTAGGAAATATTTGCAAAATTTTCTGGGAAATAAAAATTCTTGATTTTGAAGAAGTTTAATATATGCATACATAATACCTACGCAGTTTTGAAATATTACCAACTGAACAATTACATGCGAGCAGTGTTACCAACACTAATACTCTGAGAAAAATGGTTTGATTGAAGATGGACAAACCAGAAGATTTTGATCAAATTAATCTCAGTGCTCCAGTTATCTCAACTAGAATCTCAGTAAATTTAATCAGAAAATTTTCTAGTTGAATCTACTAAAATTGTAGTTGAGATAACCGGAATTCTAACTAATTTAATCAAAATTTTGGTTTGTCTATTTTCAATCAAACCATTTTCCTCTGTGTAACAATTTACATTGCCATGTTAAATTTCTGTAAAATATTTGTTAGTTTTTAAATCAGGAAAATACTTGGATAAAACTTTCAAAATATTATTGAAAGCATCGAGGAAAATCGTGAAATTTTGTCTGGAAGTCAAGGAAAAGTTACGGAATTTTAGGACGAACAATTTGTGACAATTCTGTTATGAAGATAACGCGAATTAGAGCGACCGTGAGGATGACGCGGTTCGCGTCAACTCTGGCATGTAGAACCGTTCGGATCTCATTTTCTAAAATTTTCCACCGTTAAAATTGGTGCAGTTGACAAATTGTCGAACGTTCTCGGAAGCATCCTTGATTCTAAAGCTGACATTCTTGGAATTGATGTGTATAATTCCGTTTGTCTTTCTATTTAAAGATTGGAACTTGATATATATATATAGCACGTACTCTACATATATATTTAAGAATTGCAGTCAGCAGTATCTCCTGACTAACCAAAACTTCGATTCTGCCATGTTGCGAGTCGTGCTTGCAAAACCGCGATAGAAAATTTTTTTGGTGTCAGTTTCGAGGACGTTTCCCACGTGCAGCTCTCGTCTGCTACTCTGCTACGCGACACACTACCTTTTATTATGTAACATAGGTGATGTTGTGACGCGGCAAATGATTCATAAACGCTACAAGCGCGCAAATTGCGGCGCATACCGTGAAATAGGACTTTGTTTGAATTGTGTATCATGCGCGTGACGCGAATATAATATTTACAATGCTAACGCGCGATACGAGCGTTTCGAGCGCGGAATGGGGAAACATATTATTCTTTCTCGGTCAACGTGGGTCAAAGATCGCGCTAAAATTGCTGGCTGTTCATAGTGTTTTCGGCACGGCACAAAACATGTCTATCATCGGCGTTTCCACAGTTTCCTAGCTCTGATAACGATAGTTTACTTACAGTTCAGACCGAATATCTTAAGACATTTACGATTTCTTAGATAGAATCTAAATCGTAATAAAATCATGATAACATCAAGTAGAAGTTATTTTAGGAAAAATTATGGTAATATCATTTGATACATATTTGACGATAATTTTATGATAAATTCTTGACATGATAATCATTTCTAAGAGATTTTTAATTAAAAATTCATTGAAAAATCATGTTGTTTGTCATGTTAAGAATTTATTATAAAATTGTCGTCGAAAGTATAAATTTAGGAAAAATTATAATAATTCTTAATGATTGATTAATTGATTAAATTTTATTTGTTGGTAATTATCTGCCCATACCAGATTTCCATATAACCTCGTATCTCTTCATATTTTTATTAAATCGTAATTGGTGATAAATTTTTAACAATAATTTTTAAGCGATTTTTTAATTAAAAAGCTTTTTAGTTAATATAAGTCATGATTTTTCTTAGAATGACATTTACTTAACGTCATCTTGCTCTTATTAGAATTTTTTGTTCTATTAGAGTTTAACGTTCAGCTAAATTCCATGTTTAGATTAATTATTCGAACCATTTTGTGTTCCCGAATCATTAAAGAAAAGATTTGCTTCATAAACGAATATGTGAAGAGACTATACAAATTTACAAAACATTTAGGAAGAAATGGATTTGTTACATACATTTATATATTTATTACATACAAATTATATACTCATGCATTGTTATATTAGCAAGTAGTCTCGAATTTGTTGCCCATTGAAAGCACTCACGTTGAAGATTACGTACACCGCTATGTGTACAGCTTAAATTCAAGGCTTAGCTATACTCAATCAGTTAATGTTGGTCGACGAAGAGGTACAACGATGTTCTTTCACATACAGCTCATGCAAGCACTTATCAGTGCCGTCTGTGCAGAAAATTATCCTCTCTTGAATGAACAGCACGTGTTCGGCATTAACGTTTCGTTATATACATACACATATTTTGTATCACGTCGAGTGTTCACGAGATATGTGTCACTGCGAATTAAAGAAGAGTCGATTTAGGTCTCGTAGAAATGACTGATTCGCAGTTATTTAGGTTTAGCACAGACCTGAGCTCAATATACTCCGATCACGTACATTATAAACGTTTTTATGAGCTATATGTGTGCTTGAAGAAGAATGAAAGCAAAGTACAACTCAAGAATAATAAGTATAAGGCATATGCGCGTTTGATGGAATAGAATAGGAAAAAAAATTG